GACGAACGTTCTTGGTTCATTAACATCAATTCAAAAAAGTTCCTATGGCCTTAGTAACAGTGAATCTGGGAAACTTTTTACTTCAAACTTTTACCATCCTGGTTTTGCATTTATGATATCTTTTCATTGATTTGCATCTGCCATCAGGATTTTTCCCTCAAATTCTCAATCTTTGAAACCCCGTTGGCTATGGTTATTGAGCAAGAAAATATACAGGCCATGCCGCCTTGACATATCCCCAAATCCTTTGCGGCCAGACATCTTAGATGTCCAGCCATGTTTTAGCCCTTGTCACACCCCTAGAGTTGTCCTACCCTTAGGGACAGACCTTTGGTAGCTGAGGCACGAATATATACACACCTGTTGCTGGAAATTTGTTTTGCCTGTACAATATTTACATTTATTTATAAAAGAACACAAAATAAGGATAATTTCTTACGTTGACATTTTTGATTACAATATAAATGAGGTGATGAGCGCCTCAATGTCCCGCCACCATGGTGCTTCTGTTTCTTGCGTAGTAGTCGGCTTCTGTGGCCTGTGGCTGACTCGGCAAGTTTTTGCGTCCCGCCACCGCGGTCCAACCCTTCTGTCACCACCGGTCAACCGAACCCCTCTTCCTCTTAACGTAAAACCGTGAAAATTACCACCATATTCCCATGTTTCTGGTTTTTCTGGCCAAGTTACATTTAAGGCAAAATATTCATTAATGAATTTGAAGAGCTATGAAGTGTGTCAACTTTCTTTCAAGATAACTGTTTCAGTGCTGCAACAACCTCAGCTTAAATTACTTAAATCAAGAAGGATTTTATGCAATATCTCGGCAAATCTCATTTTCACTGGCTCAAGATCTGGTTTTGCAAGGAATAAATGTATAAAATAAATATCCAATATATCATATTTATACATGGCTAACTTACAGGAACTGGGCGTTTCCTGGCTTTCCGTTTCTCAGAACAGTCTAAATGTACATGTAGTTTATTCTACTTTCATAATTAGAAGTCACTCATCTCAAGACTAACTCAACTCACGACTACAAGTCCTCTCCTAGGAATCCAGCAATGAACTGATCACATCAACCCATATCTTTTCTTTTAAACCCGAAGGAAAAATTCCAACACTGCCACGCCTTATTCCAAAGAACTCAAAATGTTTTGTGTACTATACCCTTCATAAATATTCATTATTCAAATTAATGCATAAGCGCTACATCTACCAGTAACAACTCAACTGGCACTCAGCCCATCATTCTGGTAAGGTTGACTGACTTCAGGAATGTTTGGGTGTGGCGGCTCAGGAAAATAAAATCTTGTTTCACCACTAAATACCACGTTTATCTTTTCAACAATTAGGGCCAAAATTATACGGTAGTATTATTTTAAAAGTAATTCCGATTTAATATCACTCTGGGACAGCCTGATTTCTGGGAAGATTGTGGCTCGACGAGGCACCCATATGGACAAAAGGCACTGATCCGTATCCAAATTTTCCGGTGGGCGCCAACAGTTTGGGAATTTAATCATGCAACCCCGTGTGGCCTTTTACTGGGATGAAGCTAAATTCATGGGTTTTTGTACACGTTATGGGGAGTAGGGAAATGAAACTGTCCTCTAAATCGCCAGCAGGGCGAATGTGGGACGTCAGTCCAATCTCTCATCCTCGTTATACCAACAATATAATGATATAACAAGTAAGCACTCCACAATGTAAAGACGTAGTCATTTCAAATAACTTCATCTGCATTAACTTCAGATTACTTCATCCAGATTATCATCCGGGTTAACCGGTTTGTTGAAAATACCATAAATAGGTTGAGCTCTTGTCCATTAAGGTTAAGTTAGCCTAAACTTGCATGTGTTAGCCTCATCTTGATTTTTTTCAGGACGTCAAATGGCTGTTCTTGGCACAAATCATTTTAATCGCAGAGTAATGAATAAATGAAATTAACAACAAAACAAATCAATTGATGAACAAATGACATTAAACGAATGTTATATAGCTCATCAATTAAATTCATTTAATGTCATTTGTTCATCAATTGATTTGTTTTGTAACTAACAATACACATTCTGTTTCGTATGATCACCTTTGTTGTTTGAAGTTCAAATGCATTAAAATAACTATGGATATGGACTTCATTACTGTCTGTGTTAAATAGATAAAACCTGTGTATCTAAAGGCACGACAAAGGTCTACATAAAATCTACACTGAAGGCGAGAAGCAGAGTCCGTATCTCTTCATCGCTGTAAACATTATTTAGAGTCTGAGAGAAACTGAGGCAAAGACAAGATATTCTGTTTCCAGTTTTAATTTCTTCTCTGTTTTTCTATGCTGGGACCGCGTACAAGGGTAGATTAATTCCATTTGAAACACCGTTTTCCCTTATGCTTTCCCCAATAAGGATGGTATGAGCAACCACTATCTTTCCTCCACAGCAGGCTGCATACCAACAACAAATGCATCATCATCGTCATCGTCTGAATTCAAGTCCACCTCAACTGGAGGAGCGGGTATCTCATTTTCATTTGGAACCTGGGCCGGGTCAAGGGCTTCTCGACTATTTCGTCGATGACAACTGGGTCTTATGAGACCTTTAACAACAACAGTAACTGACAGGACGACAAAGATTACACCCATGACAACCCCCAGTATTATTAACGCATGATTTGCACGTTGTAGGTGAAGCTGGACTGAGTATTGACCTGTCCCAGCATCGTTGCTTACCACGCACGTATAGAGGCCCTCTTGAGCGAGGTTGGCTTTAGTTATGGACAGCGAACCGTTCTCGGCAATGGCGAAAGGCGGCTGAGGCTGACCTGGTTGGATTAGTGTGTGATCTGTGGTAATCCAAAAGATACGCAGCAGGGGATCAGCTTCAATTGGACACGGTAAAGAGACGTCCGTGCCTGGTAAAACTGATATTTTTGTGGTAGAATCGGAAGTCAAATATGGCTTGCAAGCAAACTGATTGGGACGAAGATCCGTCACTGGGTTATCTTGTGCAACACATTTAAGAGGTTTTCCTTTGTTAAGAGACCCGGTATGATTATCCTTAAGCCAGGACGCAAAGCCACGCAGGTTGCAGTCACAGCAAAGAGGATTTCCAAACAAATGCAGGTTTACCTTAGGATTGACATGGGTCATGACTCCGCCCTTTATCGTAGTCAGATTGTTGCCTTGCAGGTTAAGAGAGCCAAGCTGATCGAGCCCAGAAAAGGCGTCCTCTTGGATGGTTGTCAAATTTGTATATGCAAGGGACAAGTTGGTCAGGCGAGGGTTGTGCCAGAATGCCCGGGCTGGGATCGTCGATATTGGGTTGAAGTCCAAGTACAGTTTCGTCAGATGTGGCAGCTGGGCTAATGCAGAGGCAGGTATCTCCACCAGCTTATTTTTATCAAGAAGAAGAATTTCTAGAAGAGATGGCTGATGAAAATCATCAGCACCAACACTCTGAATGGAATTCATATGCAAACTGATGTACTTCAGGTTTTTCAGAGACTTGATTGCAGAGGGAATTTTGCTGAGACGATTGCCATTGAGCTCCAAGTTGGTAAGGTTCGGCAATCCATCGAAGGTAGATTCAGGTATCCGAATTTCCCCTGCAGTGTTGCTGACCTCAGAAAGTTTGTTGAGTTTTAGATATTGTAACGCCACAATCTGTTTAAATATACCAACAGTATTCTGGATCAACAGCAGTTGGGCTGGATTAGAAGACAGATCTAGCACTTGAACGTTCGACAAGTACTTTGAGACTTCGGTTGGAAATTCTCTGATGCCGTTATGTGACACATCCAGTTCCAGCAAGTTGGGGATCTGATTGAAAACACCATTGCCTAAAGACAAAAGGCGATTGTTACTAAGGGACAACTCTTCCAAGTTGGGTACCCCCTGGAAAGTATTGTTAGTTAACAGGTTGATGTTGTTGCTTCCAAGATGTAACTTCTTCAATGCTACCAGGCCACTGAAAGTGCCATCTTCTATCTCAGTAATCAGGTTGTTGTAGAGAGTCAGTCGAAGCAGCTGCGAGAGCCCAGAGAAGGCGCCAGCTGGTAGCCTGGTCAGTCTGTTGTATTCCAGCCGAAGGAAACGAGTGTTGGTAGATATTCCAGCGGGGACTCTGTCCAGATTTTTATGATTGCAGTATGCATTGCCGTAAAATGTACCGGTACAATTGCAGACACTGGGGCAAGGCGCACAGGTCCTAAGAACCGTCACTGTGACCACCATGATGAGATGCAGGTCACAACGATGAATCGAACCAGATGCCATTATGGTTTTTCAAAGCGCATCCGTAGATGGAAAGCTGATGATAAATAAAAGAAATAAAATGAACGACTATTTAAAAAGCCTTTACAATAAAAAAGTTATACATGTACCACGTTATAATTAAACGTAACTTAACGACCCCGCTTGTTTGTAACGTGCATGAGACAACACTCACAACCGACTATCAAACAATTCAGTTTTTCCTTCTAGCATTTTGGCCTTCGAAAATCAATAAAGTAACTACTTTTTATCCTGATCTGAGTCGTAGAGACCTGTTTTATTCCACAATACTCTAAATTGGTCTAGAAAAAATGTCTGATTGAATGGAGAATTAAAGCTCCACAGTACCACTGGAAAATATTATTAACCGGTACATTTCATAATTGACACGAACTTGTATGGTAGCTCTCTCGATGAAACAAAACGAGACCCTGTTAAATTCGGGTGAATTCTATTGCATTTCGCAAGTGCTCCCACAGGGAATTGTCATTCGTTCTACCTTA